AGTTGAGAAGGTACAATAACAAAAGAAGTCAGAATTTTTAAAGGTTCATTGTTGTTATTACTGTCTTGCTAAACAGTTAAGACAGCTTAGAAGAAATGAATTCATCTAGTCGAAGTCTAGATTCACTCGCTATGCTAAGTACTAGAAAATATAGGCAAAAATACATAGCTAAATACATAGTTTTCCAGAATCTCAGTCTGGTAGAAGCCAAGCCAGGTAAACCAAGAATGACACAGCATCATAGCAGCAAAGATCCCTCAGCCTGCTGACTAGAAACTATGGGAAGAGATCCTGAACATATAGGACAGATTTTTACACACACACACACACACACACACACACACACACACACACACCATTAGCCAATAATTTGCCTTAGCAATACACTGGGGCAAGTACTCAACCAAAAAAAAGTATTCTCAGGACAGAATCTGTAAATATAGCTCTCTGCTATAAATACGCAGAAACTAGAAATTATTGTTCTCTTTCTCAAAGTGTAAAAAATGAGTTACACAAAACAAAATGCAACTCAGCCTTCATTGAAAAAGCACTAATATTCAAGACAGAAATGTTTCCATAGCTAAAATAAAACTAAACGCTAAAGAAATGAGGTAGGTATGGCCAAGCACTGGTGGTTCATGCCTGTAACCTAGCTACTCAGGAGGCTGAGATCTGAAGACCATGGTTCAAAGCTAGCCCAGGCAGGAAAGTCCATGAGACTCTTATCTCCAATAAACCGATGGAAAACCAGAAGTGGCACTGTGGCTCAAGGAGTAGTGCACTCGCCTTGAGCTGAAGAGCGCAGGGACAGCACCCAAGCCCAGAGTTCAAGGCCCACAACCGAAAAAGAAAGGAAAGAAAAGAAAAGAAAGAAAGAAAGAAAAGAAATGAGGTAGGTATTTCAAATATCCTAGAAAAAAATAATTTCACTAAAAAGCTAATTACCTTTCCCCAGCTATATAGATAAATGCTCATCATTATATATACCTATAAAGAACCAACTATCACTCATAAGTTAAAAACATCCTCTGAATACTCTTTTTCTCCCCCAAGGGGGAAGAAAATCTTTGTAATGTAGTAAATTTCGGGATATGCAGCTGTAAGAAAATAAAAATTCAGTAACCAATAGTAATGTACTCAGAGAAAATGCATTAGTGTCTATGCCCATAGTTCAAGAGAGGGCCACTTTGAATTCCATAAAAAGGCCTTCAACATACTAAACATAGTCCCAGGGAAGAGAAAAAAATGAACCAGTAAATTCTGTCAATAATTCCAAAATAAACAGACCTATCTTTCCAAATCCTCAAGCCCAGGAACATGTCTAAAATGTTATTCTCCCTACCCCCACACAACCTTTACAAGAAAATAAAAAGTAGTCATCTGAATGTGTGGATATTTTAAATAAAATTTATTTTAAAATAACCTATTTTTAAAGAAAAATAATAACATTAGAAATAATTAGGCTTCCTTAGTATTGAACTATTTATTTTACTAGTCAAATACTTGAAAAGTCAGGGAGAAAAAGTCCTGCTGTTTAATCATTATTCAGGTTTAGAAGTTCAATAAAAGATTTCCAAACATTTTCATAATCTACTCCCTGGCTCCTTATAACTTACTCCAAAATAACACTAATGAATAATTATCACAGTAAATATGTTTTAAGAGTTAATAATCTCAACTGGTTGATACTCCTTTCATAAATAATATCACGGTTTATTATAACCCAGGTCTTATTATGCTGACCAGCTGATCAATTCCAACCTCACAGTAACTATGTAAAGTGTCCAAAATAGCTCACTCCTGAAGCCGTATCTCAAGCCCATTCCTTCAATGAATCCCTTTCTAGGGCAGCTCAAATCAAATAAGATGGGGGAAGGGGAAGGGAGTTACATAAGAGGATTTGTAAAGTCTAAAATTAACTACTCCTCTTGCTACCTCTACAGTCTCCCACTCTAACCAAGACCTCAATTCTTCTGACCTCTTCCAACCTGTTCTCTGTAGCTTCCGTACTACTTTCCTACGACCTTTCATCCCAGTTTACTAATCAAATCATCAATACATTACATATTCTATCTTTTCAAACATCCATGTTCTAATTCCCTGTTAGCCAGGATTCTGCCCAAACTACTCAGTAACTCACCACAATGTACATCCAAAAGTCCTCCCAGCAGCATGACCCCATTAGCCACTCCTCCACTTAAAAGTACTCTCCTATAATTACCCTTTATAATGCTCCTCTGTCTTAGTTGGAAGCTATCTTCCTACTTCTCCAATGCTTCCTTCTCTACCTTAAATTCCCTAGAATAGATTTTCTACAAGTCACAGGCTTTGTTTTTTCCTTCCTACTCTATATTATGGCTCAGGTATCAACTCTTTCTTTCTTTTTTTGTCTTTTTGGTGGTATTGGGGTTTGGAACTTAGGGCCATGCTACCACTTGACCAACACTGCCAGTTCCTTCTCACCTTGGTTATTTTCAAGGTGGTGTTTTGGTTTATGGCTAGGCTGGCCTGGACTACAATCCTACTATTTGTGCTTCCCTCTGTTACTGGGATAACAGGCATGTGCCAACTCAGCTGGCCATTGGTTGAGACAATGTCTTTCGAACCCTGGGCTAGCCTTGAACCACTGTCCCCTAATTTCCATCTCCCAAATAGCAAGGATTATAGGCTTAAGCCACCATACCTAGCCAGGTTTCAATTCCTTATCTCTAGCTTTGACTGCTTCTGAAACAACAGCAATGTGTATCCCATTCCTATTATATCTTTCTCTGAAGTTGTTGTTGTTATTGTTTGTGTTTGGGCGGGGGGAGGGGGGGAAGGGGGGTGCCAAGCATTCAACCAGTACCTGCTATCTGCTATTCTGTATGTTAAACTGCCAAAATACAAAGACCTACAAAGATCATCCCTGCCTTCAAGGATCAAAGACAAATAAAGCAAAAAAGCTTAAAACAATGTAATCAATGTGAAAATTCCCATACAGATGTGCAGAGATAAGGAAAAATGAATCAGTTATATAAACAAGCTTTCTATGTTGAACTATATACATTTGTAGACACATTATTTCAATTAATTCTCACAACATATGAAATATAAAACTAAAACTCCTTAAAGTAATTTATGACCAGATCATAAAAGTATTGTGACGAATTCAGGTGCAGAAATAAAAGTTTTTTGGCTCCTAAACCTATGCCTTTTCTACTACGTCTAGAAATAGACCTGATGAGTCAGGAGAGAAACAGACTAAAGATACCGATTTGAGATCAATTAGTATGTCAAGTATATGTAAAGCCATGGTCAAGAAAGAGATTGCTCAAGAAATAAGCAGGAGATAGAGCCTATACCTTAAGAATCCTGGAAATATTAAAACATGATAAACTCCAAAACAAGTTTAGCATCTTCTTTAAGGAAGTACCATATTTAATTAGCTGTAAATCATACATTTTTCAAATTTTAGCACTTCTGAAGTTGGGATGTAGACATTGTGATGTGTTGCAGCAGAAAGTTGAGAAAATATGGTAACTTTATTCTAAACTTAATCTCCAAATTTAAACCCCTTATATCACACCAAGATGTACTATTTTTCCACAATATTCCTTCTATATATTTATTTTTATTTATTCTATATATTTATTTTTCAGTTAAACCATTCTGGTTTAAAACCGTATCAACTGTGCAGAGATTAAATTCTCACTTCATTGGTCTTACTAGCTCTGTTTTTTCCTTTGGGACAATCTTTACAAACCACTGTACACAGGTGATTCCCTCTCTTAAAATCAGCTCCTTGCTACATATAAAGGAGATTTAAGGGGCTGGGAATGTGGCTTGTGGTAGAGTGCTTGCCTAGCATGCATGAAGCCCTGGGTTCAATTCCTCAGTACCACATAGACAGAAAAAGCCAGAAGTGGCACTGTGTCTAGTGGTAGAGTGCTAGCCTGGGCAAAAGACTCAGGGTAAGCACCTAGACCCTGAGTTCAAGCCCAAGGACTAGCAAAAAAAAAAAAAAAAAAGGAGATTTAAACTGTTTCATGATTTGGCTTCAAGTGACCTATACACTATTATGAACCAATATAAACCTTCTGTTGTAATCAAAATACTCTAGTCATGGTTCCTCATGCTTTGATTCCCTTCAAATCAAACTCAAGTTTCATAATCTACATGAAATCTTCCTCCATCATCCTAAGGCACTCTTCTGAATTTCCACAGCATGTACCCCTCTTGAAAGCTGCTAAATTTAAATTACCACAGGTGTTATATTTTGCTTCCATGATGAAATTTAAAAGTTCCAAGACAGAGAGAGTATGTTTTGTACATATGCAGCATAGTTTAGTAGTAAATTACATGGCCTCTGGAGCCAAACTATAGGTTCAACTCAGAGCATCTCACCTTTCTGTCTGACACTGGGCAAGCTATCTAATTTCTCTGTGCATCACTTTCCTCATTTATAAAATGTAATTAAAAATAGTCCCTGAAAGGACTGTCAGAATTACATGATCATGTAGGAACTAATCTCAATACACCATAAACATTTTGTGTTAATTACTATTATTTTTTCATTGATAAGAAAACTCACAACATAAGTGCTAGAAATGCTCTGTTAATATTACTTATTGTGGCTGTTATTTGGAACATCAAGGTTTATATTACCTAATAATAAGTATGAAGCGTGTCCTTAGTACTTGCTTGATGGAGAAAGGGAGGTAAAGCCTTAACACAAGAATAAATTTTTCAGCAAAGTGTCTTTTTCTAACATTCTGCAGAGCAATTGGAGAAATCCATTCCAGAGTGGCAAGAAATACCTATTGAGGTCTGTAATGGCTACGCAATATCAGGAAAAATGAACTTGAGGATGTCAGGAAAAGACATGCTACAGAAAACAGCGTTATGTGTTTATGGTTTTGTGTATATCATGTATACAAGCACTGCAGTTCTCCGGCTACTTTTGAGAATGGCATAAAATGCAAGCAAAAGTTCTTGGTGAGTTAGGGAAAACAGGAACTTACTGAGCATGCCTCTATAATTGAGGTCCATATCCCGGCTCTCCGATCGTACTTTAATAGCATCCAGAATAGCATCAGGAGACAACAGTCCCGAAGGTCTCACAACATTCAGAAGTTCGGTGAGGCTCATCAGAGGTAAACGAACAGCCTGCATGATTTCAGCATGATCCTCCTTTGAATTGTGCTTACACCAGTTTAACAAGGCTAAGAAAATATCTTTTTCAGGGGCTGCAAATGAATCTCTTAACACGATGTTTAAAAGTGCTGCCTGAAAAGGATAAAGAGAAAAACCAGTTATGATGGGGCCAAATCATGTGCATGATCAATCAGTAAACCTTTACAGAACCATTGATATTACTTATATTTAGACAATTCTTTTGACCCTCTTATTTCTTTATACTTTGTGCCAATACTCTCTTGACCCTTACAGCTCTGTGAATATTAAGAAAGGATGGTAGCGCCTTTCTTTCCTGCCCAGGCATTCTGTACCACTACATAAAAAACTATTATTCTAAACTTAACCCTTTCTAATACCAATCTCAACAATCTTGCTTAAAATATCAAAGTGGAGTGTTATCAACGTATTATTTTTTTCTTTTGGCAGTAATTTTGTTTGAACTCAGGATCTCATGTTTGCTAAGTAGTTGCACTACCACATAAGCCACTCCATCATTCTTTTTATGTGTTCATTATTTTCAACATAGGGTCTCATTTCATATTCAGGCTGGCCTAGACTGCAATCCTATTTCTACCTCGTCCTGGGATGATAAGTACATAGTACAGCATCTAGCCACTGGTTGAGATGGAGTCTAGAAAATGTTTTTGCCCAGGCCAGCCTTAAATTGCCCCAAACCTTAACCCGATCTCTACCTTCCAAGTACTTAGTAAACAGGTTCTTTAGAAGAGTGCGTATTTGTAGGTCAATAAGGATACCTCTGGCACTTAAAAGTCAAAATATTTTGATTTTGCACTACCATTTTTTGTTGTTGTTCTCAGCTCCCAACACTGACTCCATCAACACAAGTACTACCTAAAAAATCTTGCCTGTAAAAATTAAGTAGGATAGTAAAAAATGTTTATACTCAAACTTGGCTTTTCAATACATCTCACTTGAGATATCCAACACATCAAGAGGAACACAAAGAAGAGAGAGACTACCACCACTCAGAGTTCAGAAAAGATTTGAGCAAGGTATTTTTACTTGAGCAACTGGGGCTGGGAAGGTGGTTCAGTGGTAGAGTGCTTGCCTTGTATGCATGAGGCCCTGGGTTCGACTCCTCAGCACCACATAAGCAAAAAGAAAAACGCCGGAAGTGGCGCTGTGGCTCAAGTGTAGAGCGCTAGCCTTGAGCTGAAGAGCTGAGGGACAGCACCTAGGCCCAGAGTTCACGCCCCACGACCGAACCCCAAGAAAATAAATAAATAAATAAATAAATAAATAAATAAATGCAGTAACTTAGAGACCTTTAATGATTTCTACTTTAGCAATTTTCCTCTTAAAGAACTATTAGTTGTACTCTCTATGTTCTCTATCAGAGAAAATGAAACCAAAAAGTGTCTGTAAGACCACAAAGAATCATATCTGTCGTCACATTAAAAACACTAAAGAACAATCTCTTTTCCACATAATCCACACCAAAAGATCTTTAAAACTGAGAGATAGGGGCTGGGAATGTGGGTTAGTGGTAGAGTGCTTGCCTCGCATGCATGAAGCCCTGGGTTCGATTCCTCAGTACCACATAAACAGAAAAAGCTGGATGTGGCACTGTGGCTCAAGAGATAGGCCTTGAGCAAAAGAAGATCAGGAATAGTGCCCAGGTTCAAGCTACAAGACTGGCAAAGGGCAGGGCGAGAAGAAGAAAAATAACAAATAAATAAATAAATAACAAGTCAAGCACTGGTGGTTCATGAACTCCAAGGATCACAGTTCAAAGGCAGCCTGGGTATAAAACTTAAAAAATAATCAGCAAAAAGCCATTATTCAAGTGGTACAGCACCACTGAGCTTACTCAAAGCCCTGAATTCAAACTTAAGACTGTGAAAGACAGAGAGAGAGAAAGAGAAAGAGAGAGAGAGAGAGAGCTCCAGGATGCAGAAATAGCGAAACCAGACAATCTCTTTGGTACCAATAATCTCTATTTCCTCAATCTCAGTCAATGCTGTATTATCACTATAAAGACATAAAGTAATAGATGCTTACAACAAATTACTTGCAGACTATTATATACCTTGGAAAGGGAGAGAAAACCTTCACTTGAGAGCACCTCCTGAGCATTTCTGTCCATGAATAAGCAGCACATACATGTTAACTTGGGAAGTGAGTACAGACTGGCAACATCAAAAGTCATACAGACATTCTGAATGTTGAGTATGGTACAGAGATACTCAGAGGTAGAATCTTCCAGCTCTGGAAATCCATATTTATGAGCCAGACTCAAAAAATCCAGCAGCACCTCCTCCTTCTCATCTGTCAGTGTTGCCCTCCCAGTGTAGATATATTTAAGCAGCATTGTGAATGCTTCTGCAGTGGTGTCTTGCAGAGGGATTTCTGCTTCAGGCTGAGACTCTCGCATTCCACCATACAGTAATGCTCTGCACATCAGAAGAGAAGAAATGTAGGAGTGAAATTTCAAATAGGATTTGCTGCAAAATACATTAAATAATTGCTAATAATACTATTTAATCATAAATTTGCTTAACAACGATCCAAGTAAAGAAACAAAAAGTAATCATCTAAATGGTTCTGCAAGAAGCCAGCTGGGGTATGACTCAAATGCAAAGTACCTACCTAGCAAGCATGAGGTCCTGAGTTCAAACCTTAGTACCACCAAAAAAAAGAATGATTTGTGTGTGTGAATGCACACCAATATTGTGTCTTGAACCCAGGGCTTCATGTTCTTGCTTAGAACTCTTCACTCAAGGTTAATGTTGCTGATGCTATATCATTTGAGCCATACTTTCACTTCTGGCTTTTTGCTTATTAACTGGGGATAGGTATCTCTCAGATTTGTCTTGAAACCTAGATGCTCAGTCTCAGCTTCCTGAGTAGCTAGGATTACATGAGCCACCTGTACCCTAAAAGAGAAATTATTTTAAAAATAATCTTAAATTAATTCCATAAATTCCATAATTTTAAATTAATTCCATAAAAACCAGGGTAAAGATGTCAAAGGTTAATAGGCAGTTTCAAGCTCAACTCTAAATGGAAGATATAAAATAAAAACAAACAACATGGGCTGGGAAGGTGGCTCAGTGGTAGAGTGCTTGCCTTGCATGCATGAGGCCCTGGGTTCAATTCCTCAGCCCCACCTAAGCAGAAAAAGCAGGAAGTGGCACTGTGGATCAAGTGGTAGAGTGCTAGCCCTGAAGCTGTCCCAGGCCCAGAGTTCAAGCCCCATGACTGACAAAAAAAAAAAAAAAAAGTTTTGTCTTGATTCTAAGAGCTATGAAACTTAGTTTCAGTAAATACTTAGAAATGTCAAATTTTACATCTAAGAGGTTGCTTATAGGTCCTAGACCTCAGTAGTCTGAAACCAAGAGGCATATATGTCCATTAGCTAATTGGAAGAGCAGCTTACCTACAACGAGAAGTCTATCTGCTAGTACATTAGTGTAACTCACATTAGTCATCTACTATAAGGAGAAATAGTTGAAAGTAGTTGACCAGTACTGTGTGAAAGATACACTTTCTAAGTTTTCATTTCTTTTTTTTTGGGGGGGAGGGAGGGGCCCTCCGGTAGTGGGCCTGAACTCTGGACCTGGGCACTGTCCCTCAGGTCTTCAGCTCAAGGCTAGCACTCTACCACTTGAGCCACAGCGCCACTTCCGGCTTTTTTTTTCCTGCTTATGTGGTGCTGAGGAATCGAATCCAGGCATGCGAGGCAAGCGCTCTACCACTGAGCCACATTCCCAGCCCTAAGTTTTCATTTCTAAGGTAAGTCTCAAAACAAAAAATAACAAGAAGTCAATAAAGATGGAATTTTTTACAGATGCTGACTTGAAAAATTGCTCGAATTTGTCTCTGCTTGTTTATATATTCTCATAGAGGAGAAAATACCAATGTTTTCTCCAAGTGACTTGAATCTTCAAAAAACAATACTATACTTACCGAAAATATTGGCACCTGGCGGCTAAAATCACCCTGTGGGCAGGGAACCGTTTCTTTTCCACAACAAACGTGACATCACCATACTCTTCCCCAATCAACAAGGCACCAATATGTTCAGACAAAATGTGCACATGATCTATCTCCCCCACGGCAGTGAAGGGGCGCAAGGGATGGCTGTTACTCATCTTGTGGAACAGGCGATAGTCGCTGACCTATTTTAGAAAGAAGGGATGAGAGTTAGTGGAGGACAAGGGGAGCACTTTAAAAAAAAAACTGATCATAAACATAGCTAAGTAAACATTTAAAGTGCTTAAGTTAAGTGCTGGTGGCTCACTCCTGTAATCTAACTACTCAAGAGGCCAAGATCTGAAGATCCACCCTAGCTGGGGCAAGGAAGTCCCTGTGAGACAAATCTCCAATTAAGCCCTACTCAAAATCCAGAAGTGGGGCTGTGGCTTAAAGTGGTAGAGCACTAGCCTTGAGCACAAAGAGGATCAGGGACAGTGCCTAGGCCCTGAGTTCAACCAACAAAAATAAAATAAAATAAAATAAAATGCTCAAAATTTTACATAAGAAAAAGTTCATCATTAATGTTTGGGTTTTTTCTTTTCTTTCTTTTTTTTTAAACAAAATCTCACTGTGTGGCTTAAACTGGCAATCTTCCTGTTTCAACCTCCAGAATGTCCACAAGTCTCCTTATTAATCTAACTCTAAGTAACTCAACTTGCTTTCATTAATGCCATTGCCTTCACTGCCTTATCACACTATGAAAGCAAAAACACTATGAGCACTTGAACCATCACAGCTTAGAAAATTGAGCCAAATACAGATCTCATATTCCTTATGTACCTCAGAAAAAGAAAATTCAACAAGCAGAATAATCTTTTAACATACAGTAATTTAGTAAGGTTACATACAATTATACCCAGACAAAGTCTTTTCAGGCATAGATCTAGACCCAAATGAAATAATTAGGTATTATGCAAAAAATTTGGGTCTGAAATAATTTTAAATATTTTATAAAAATATTCTGGAAGCCGAGCACCAGTGGCTCATGCCTGTAATCCTAGCTACTCAGGAGGCTGAGATTTGAAGATCCAGGTTCAAAGCCAGCCCCCGGGCAGGAAAGTCCATGAGACTCTTTATCTCCAATAAACCACAAAAAAAAAAAAAAAAGGAAGTGGTGCTGTGGCTAAGTGGTAGAGCGCTAGCCTGAGCTGAAGAGCTGAGGGGCAGTGCCCAGGCCCAGAGTTCAAGCACCACAACCAACCAAAAAAAAAAAAAAAATCCAAAGTCAGCTGGGTGCCAGTGGCTCACACCTATAATCTTAGGTACACAGAGACTGAGACCTGAGGAATGAGGTTCAAAACCAACCTGGATAGGAAAGTCCCTGAGACACATCTCCATTAATCACAGAAAAAGCCAGAAGTGACACTGGGGCTCAAGTGGTAGAGTGCTAGCCCTGAGCAAAAGGAGCTCAAGGACAGTGCCCAGGCCCAAAGTTCAAGCCCCAGGACTGGTTAAAAAAAAAAATTCTGGAGTCATAAAAATTACTAAACATTTATTAATGAAAATATATAGGAGCCTAACCACTCTCAAATGAAAAATTACCCTGGCATTATTATCAAGACATAACTTCACAGACAGGCTTAGTAGGCTAAAAATCTAATACCAGAACTCAGTGGCTAAAGCAAAAGTATCATAAGTTTGAAGGTAGCCTGGACTACACAGTAAGGCCCTGTCTCAAAAACAAAAACAAAACAAAAAGATGACCAGTCTAAATGTGTGGCTCTGGTGCTAGTGTTTACCAGAATGTCATTACATCTTCTTTCACTGATAGGCGATTTCTTGCTTTCCACGCACTACCTTTCTACAAAAGTAACAAAGTCAAGGGACCAAAAGTTGATTAACAGTTTTACGTGTTAGAAAGGGGAATTGTGATCTTAGAAAGCAAAAAAAATGTTTAGCTTTAACTCTCTACTTTCAAGTACTCCTTTTCTAGGTGCAAGGAACCTAGAAAGTGGACGAGGGTCTTAACTAACATACAAGTGCCCCAGGTAGTCAGAAGTAACTGGCAGTTCAGAGGTAGCTCTATGGCACTGAGATTAGCAGATCTGAGTCAGATATGCTCTCTCCAACAGACCTCCCTCAACCTTCTTTAACCCCCTATTTGGACAAAGATTAAAAAACTAAATAGCTCTAATCTTCCATTCTTAGCAAGATGTGTGAGAAAGTTAGGTGCCTGCTATCATGTGCCTGCCCTCAACACGGGTGGGAGAACATAGTGGATGATCTTGGCAAGGAGATAAATGCCAGGTAAGTGAGCAAAGCTGCTGGTCCCCTACAGTAGACTCCTCAAGAAGACAGGTAGCTTACTTTCCTTGTTACCAAGGCAAGTCTCTCCCTCAACTGCAATCTCTACCTGAAAGTCCTCAAACACTATATTATTCATTTCTAGTTATTTGTGTATAAAAGATCAAATTCAGCTTAAAATGACCTATGTTGCAGATAATGTACGATAAAATAGACTAACAGGGGTTGTCAAACTTTTTGCAAATGGCTAGAGAATAAATAGTTTAGGCTTTGTCCACTACACAACCTTTGTCACAACTATTCATCTCTGCCTGGGAATTCCAAAGCAGCCACAGGCCATAAGTAAATGAATGAACATGCCTGTGTTCCAATAAAAGTATTTCTGAGGAAAAAGAAGCTGAACTTGGCCCAAAAGGCCACGGTTTACCAATCTTGCCCAGTCTAATATAAAGACATTGTTCAGCATATAAGAACTGAGACTCTAGAGAAAGGATCAGACAGAGTTTTTGTCATCTTGTTTCTTCTGGGTTATCCAATTGGTGCTCAAAACAACTCGATTATTTCATAACATTGACCATAAAATTCTGAAAGCTACTAAAGCCTGACTTCAAAATTCCATTAGAGATTTCTCTCAACAGTAATGCTCACATTACTATCCACTAGTTCAATAATGACACGTGACTTTAAGCAAAACAGACTCCTTTTTCCTAGATGAAGGGATACAATACTCCTGATAAATGATGACTGATTTTCAGTTAACTAGCTCAGAAGAATTTACAATTCTTCAACTGATGATGTATCATGAATATTAATACTACATATGTAACTATCTTAACAGGTTCCCAGATCTTCTCTTTTCAATACATATAATTTCATTTTTGCTAAATTTACATTTTAATTATAGTTTTCCAAGTGGAGTCATAAAGAGAATATTACTGAGCACAGAAAATAGCCGCTTAGTATGGAATAAACACAATTTTATTAGTGTATAGAAATAATTTAAATTATACCCGTAATTTTCAACAAGCCCACCTTTCCCTGGATCTACAAGGAGAGCTTTTGATAAAAAGGAAAATATAGGATGCTTGAGTCCCACCCATCAGATTTGTACTGAACTGATCTGAAATGGGGCCCAGGCATCAGAATCACCACTGTGAAGTGATTTTAATAAGTAGCCTGGAAAAGAGTCACTGATTTAGACAGTTGTTGCAGGTACATGAATGAGCTTTGTCCCACAAGGGTCTGTGTATTATAGTCTTGGTCACCAAGAGTGATAGTATTAACTTTTAGGAGGTGGGGCCAAGGTGAGACCCCAGTGAGAAGTCCTTAGACCCCTGACAGCATTGCCCTAGTAAATGATTAAGGGATTCTCATGGAATCCTTTGGGAGTTCTCAAGAATGCTACTATAAAAACAGCCAACTATCACCTACCCTGCTCTCTGGCTTCCTGTTTTAGAAGTGATTTCTTCCTTCTTCATTTGTTCCCACAATTGTATTACTATTAGCCATGAGGTCCTGAACTAAGCCAGCATCTTGTCATTGAACCTCCAAAACTATAAGCTAAACAAACCTCTTTTCTTCATAAAGCTAGCCCAATTGGGATATTTCATTACAGTAATGCAAAGCTAAGAGTGATCACAACCCTTAGATACACAGGTTCACAATCAAAACATCCACTGAGGAAATTCAACTAGAATATATTTGCATTTTGAATATTATTTTAAAGAGGTAAATAATGTTCTCAGATACAAAGTGTCCTGAGATTCTGGTCCTTTTACAGCCCTGGAAGCCAAACTTGCTAATGCAGCAATGAGCATGGGTGTGCCAACTGTGTGCATTGCATCCTGACTGAAATATGTTGGATAAATGCTTGAGTGGTATTGCTAGGTTCTTTGTTTAGTTTTTTGAGGAATCTCCAAGCTGCTTTCCACAGTAGTTGCACCAGTTTACATTCCTACCAACAGTGTAATAGGGTTCCTTTATCTCTCACTGACTCTTCAGCATCTGTTCTTGTTTGTATTCTTGATGATGAGGAGGAAAAGTCAGATTTAGAGAAACAAAGGATACACATTTTCCCTCATAGGTGGAACTTAGATCTAAATGATAAATATATATTTGAACATATACGGGGGTCATGTGCATTTATACACAAATATTATCTAAAAGTATGATATATGCTGAGAAGGATTACAAGGGTTGTAACTCCTTTGAACAACTAACTTACAGTTTGACAAAAAGAGTACCAAGAAGCTAGACCATGTGTTGTGTAGGAGATGAAGTGGGGAGGAGGCAAGGGGACAGGTAAATGGAGAGGGAACAGTGAGTGAATGCAGGCATAATATTCAATATCCATATGTGAAAATGTAACCAGGTAAATTAAGAAGATGGGTGGGTTTGGGAATGATGGGGAAAAAAAGATGAAAGAGGTAACACTGATCAAGATGATTGGTACTCACAAATTTGACATACTGACTTGAAACCCTTTTGTATTAAAGATAATAAAAAATAAATTTGCTGATGCAAAAAAAAAAAAAAAAAAAAAAACCCCAAGGGTCAACTGTTTGCTCAAACTACTCCCTCAGGTTAAAAAAAAAAAAAAAAGTAGAAGGGCTTAGAAGAGAGAACAGCCATGTTTCAACCAGGACATGTTATCTGTCATGGTACCATAATACCATTATTAGTCGAGGGTACTAGGCTCCCATATAGATTTATTTTCTAGGGACAGTAAGGAAACTACACTACTTTTCTTGGTTGGTTGAATTTCATTGATTCAAATACATCAAAAATAAAAATCAAATACATCAAAAAAAATCACTGTATTAATACTAAAATATTCAGGGTTACTGCCTGTTTAATATGCAGTAAGAAACCCATACCTATTATTCTAACCAAAATAATA